GGCGGCTGGCCGGCCGCAGGGTGCGCAGCGGGTGGCACACGGCCACGTAGCGGTCCAGCGTCATGGCGATCAGCATGTAGGTGGAGGCGAACATGCTCAGCACCTGCAGGTACTTGACGGCCCTGCAGAGCGGGTCCGGCCCCACGAAGCGGTACGTCACCTCCCAGATCATCTGCGGCAGCACCTGGAAGAGCGCGACGCCCAGGTCGGTCAGCCCCAGGTGCAGGATGAAGAGGTGCATCCGGCTCATCTTCCTCCTCAGGCGGTACATGGCCAGCAGCACCCCCACGTTGCCCACGGTGGCTACAGCCAGGATGGTGGCCAGCACCCCGATCTCCGCCTTGGCCAGCTCCTCGTCCCGTGTGTGCAAGAGGGTCAGGTTGGGGTCCCCGGCCAGGGTCTGGGGGCTCAGCAGCCCCTGGCCATGCCTCCCGTGACGAGTGCTGTTCCAGCCCCAGCCTGGCTCCATCCCTTCGGGAAGCTCTCTGGGAGCACAGCTATAAAGCTCGTCTCTGATTTCCTTTAAACCCTCCCCTGCCTCCGCAGGGCTGAGCACTGGAGGTCGGTGCTGCCCCTGAGCACCACTGCCCTGGCCCCTCTGCCCTGGCTGGGGGGGCTGGATGCGCCTCCTCCTGCTGCCCCCAGCACCGGTGCAGGATGTCACCTCCTCTGCCGTGCGCAGCTCAGCATCACGCTAATCCCAATAATCAAGAGGTGCAACAGGCCCTGGCTCAGTCCTTGATCTTTCTCTTGTCTGCACCCGACATTCCCAAATTCACATTGCTCTGTGACCTGCTCATCTTGTGCATCTTCTCTCCTCCCTGAGCTGGTAGCTTGAAGGAGAAAGGGGAGTCCTCTTTGCTGCTTCTTAGTACGGTAAAAGTAACAGAAAATGCTACAGCGGCTGCATCTCTTTGCTCTGTTCATTCCAGGAATAGCAGAAGTCAGGTGAGCGGTGTCCGAGTGTCCCTGTTGCTGTGGGAAGTGGCGTGGCCGGATGCCGGCGGTGGCTCCCGGTCTCCGTGTGTGCCGCTGTCCGCCCGGGTCTGGGTTTTATGCCCTGGCAGCTCCCCCCGGGCTGGCCCCTGCGCCCGGCTCCGCTGCTGCGGGCAGGTGAGAGCCGCGTCCCCTCCCACCGCGCTCCCGGGAGCTGCAGCCGCTGGGCTTTGCAGCGGCGTTTTCCAAATGCGATTTCTGGGCAAGAGCCGAAGGTTGGGAATCCTCCCGCCCTTGTCCCCTGCGTCCCCTCTTCTGCGGTGTCAGGGCTGGGGACGCTCTGCCTCCGATTTGCACTGTCCCTGCTGGCCAGACCCCCCAAATCTCTGCCCTTGGCTCCTCCTGGCCCAGCAGACCCCAGGGGATGGGGGGCTGCAGGTCTCCCAGAGCTGCAGGAGTCAGGCCCCATGAAAGGCAATGGACAACAGCACACCCCCAGTCAAGGACAAACATGTAAATTGTGGCTGGAAATACAGATGGGGCTGTGGTGAAATGCACCTCAGCTGCCTTAGC